CATAAAAGACCTAAGGTTATCTTTTTAAGACGAGGAAGTTGAGGTGAGGTGTATGCACTTTGTACCTGCTGTTTAGGAATTAACTTTACAGCCAAAGTGGTTATTGAACTCCCATCTCGTCCATTTAAGAGCAGGGTTTGCTGTCTGCTCACAGGCCTCATTATGTATAAATATCACTACTGGTGGCCATTTTTTACAGCTGTCAGCATGTTTTCTAGACCATGTTGGCTGTGTTTTTGCAGGTTGAAAGATGTGTTTAAGGTAAACCCCTCATTTATGTTCTTAGAGGTGATGATGCATGTGGTAGCCACCACTAGATGGAGATAGGTGGCAACAGGAAGGGTCCAAGGACCCAGAGCTTTAAAAATAAGATAATAGTGTGGTAAATCTCTATTCAGACTTCACGTCTCTGTGTTTTCCTTCCAATTCTCCACATTCACTTGTCAAATTTAAGAAGCATCAATAATCAGTCATTCTCCAGCTAAGGAACAGGATGAAATTACCGTAGATGTTTATTAGATTGTTTTTGTGTGTGTTTGTGTCCAGACGAGGAGGAAATGGAGGCGTCTGAGCAGGAAGCTGTAAGCAGGAAAGATGCAGAGACTCCCCCAAAGGTGAGCCGGCTTTAACGGTGTGTTCTGTCGCCCTTTTTGGCCTCATGGGGGCGCTGCTGCGTTTGAGCACCAACGGGCAACAGAATCACTCATGAGAAGCTCAAAGGTTGAACACTCCAGTGTAACATGCCTCATTTCTATCTCCTATATACCTGTTTTCCATAGTTTTCCCCTCTTATAGTTAGTATATGCCCATTTTTTTTAGCACAGAAAAATATTTCCACAGTGAGGGTATCAATGCAGTTTAGGCAAAGTCTTTTTAATTCGATGCTCATCAATATTTTTAATTTTTTTCTTCTTTTTTTCTTGATTTTTTCCCTTTTTAAATTTGTTTTCCCCCTTTTTTTCCTTTTTTTTCTTCCCTTTTCGTCTTTTTTCTCTTTTCCCCCCCTTTTTTAAAATGAATTGTTAAATCTGATAATGTCATTTAATAGAAGAAAGCTTAATCTGGAGTGAAACCCCTCTTTTGTTCTCATATTTTCCTTAATACCCGCTTCATGATGAAGAGACTCTATAGAGAGACACAAAACAGACATCAGTTCGTAAGGATGTGGAAGGCAGCTGGTGTCTCTGTGAGGCCAAGCAGAAAACCAGACTCTGGCTTTACGCTTCTCTCAAGAACATTGGGCCACACTCTGACCTCTGACCTTTGGAAAGAGCAAACATGGACCCTCGTAGGTGGGTCTGCGTCAGCTGTCCCTTTGGTGTGACCCACCGCTTTGAGCCGACCGCCTCCGGCTCCATCTTCATCCTCCTGGGATCTAAGATCAGAGTCAGGCTCAGGTCTGAGGGGCTCCGAACACCCCGTGCCTTCAGACTACTTCTTCCCAGTGACCTCTGACCCCTGACCTTTATGACTAATCCAGACCGAAGCCTTCTGGTGTGTTTAGGCCTCAGAGAAAAAGGGGAGATCGTTTTTAATACTTTAGTTTGAACACAATCTGTTTAAAACAGGTTTCTTTTTCAGACTCCAGGTCTGAGGTTTGACCGGAAACCTGCATCGGTCACTTTGACTCAACAGACAGAAAGACTGAGTAGAAGTCACTGACCTTTCTGATCTTTGCAGGAAGTAAACAGTAACAGCAGCCACGCCCCCAGTGATGTCACTTCCTGTCCGGCCGAGGCCTCGCCGGAGATCACGGAGCCGGACCAGAGCGCCGGTAAGTCAGTGATGGACCTCCAGGTGGAAAAAGTCTCCTGTAAAGCTACTGACCAGCGTCAACTCCGGCCCAGGGCAGCCTGCAGCCAGCCCTGAAAACATTCCTGTTTCTGCTTTTAGATGCTTTTATCCAGAGCAACGTACAAAGTAGACACCATTTTACAGTTATCATCAATATGACAATGAGTTCTGTAGAGGAAAATCCCAAGTCAGAATCAATGGAGACAGAAAAGAGAGAGAGAAGGAAGCACAGAAAGAGGAGTAGAGGGAACAGAGGTTAAATTCAGTTTAATTTCTATAGCTCCACATCCCAACAACAGGTATCTCCCAGCTTTCCAAACAAAGCAGCTCAGACTCTGAGTTATTTACAGAAGAAAAACAGTTCCCACCAAAAGCAGCACTAGGAGACACAGGGAGGGAAAAACCCGGAGCAGAACCATGGCTCAGGGTGCGGGGGTATCTGGGGAGGAGTCAGGATAGGAGCTGCTCTGTGGAGAGGGGGGGGGGTCTTTAGGAGTTTCCTAAAGATAGAAAGGGGACGCTGCTGTTCTCTTAGTGCCTGGTAGGTCGTTCCTCCATTGTAGGGTGACTATCGCACTCCAAATTAGTCACTGAGGGAAGGACGTAGGGCTCTGTTTGACTCGCTGACTCTAATGATGAAACTTGGCTCCAATACTGGTTGAGGGGTGTTTATTTTTCTTCTTCTTGCATAATACACGTTGACAAGATTGTATATTGAATATAAAGATACTTTGGCTATTGATTTGTGACTTTGCGGTCAACAGAAAATATCGGCCGCCTATGTCAACCCTCTCTGTCACAAACAAAAGACAAACTCCATGGGCAGACACCTGTGTCTGATAATTATCAGGCCATCATCCAAACTTAGTCACACACACACACACACACACACACACACACACACACACACACACACACACACACACA